CGGTTCTTTTCTCATGAGACTTAGGGTCTCAGGTAGTAAATGTTAAAAACTTGCAGGGTTCTTTAAATTGGAAAAAAAAGTTTTTCCCTTTAAGCTGTGGCTGAAATTTTAAGGTGGGTAGAAAATAAGAAAAGAAAAACAAAATACTATATATATATATATATATACTTATTTTAAGTAACAAACATCTGTATACATGTCTATGCTTATATTTTATAAATGTATTTATTGCTGCTCCTCTTAATAGTGGCTACTACTTGAGGGATAGGATGGGCATTGGTGGTTGTCGGATTTGCCTGTGTGTTTTGGTCCAGAGTGCTGGGGTTGGATGGTATGGGAGATTACCTGCTGTGTTGGCATCAGAGGAGCAGTTGATATTTTATCTGTAGGTCAGAGTTGGAAAAGCAGGAGAATGACATTTCAGTTTCTTTCTCTTTAACTAGGAGATTACTGAAAAGGGGCTAAAAGACTGAATAGAGAAGGAGAGAGGAAGAGAGAGAGAGAAAGCAGAGAGTGAAAAGGTTTGTAGACGCTGGCTGAGACTGGGCTGTTGATGAAGAACGAATATGACAGGCTGGAGGGGAGGTAAAAGGGAGGAGGTCTTTGAGTCCTAGGTGGATGTGGAGGGGGCCTCCTGTAATGAGGCGACATTTGCATTTGGCAGAGGTGGGGGAGTGGATTGTTAAGGGATCCTGAGTAATCAGTGGGATCAAAAGTTAGGGAATTTTGATTGGGAAGGGCAGAGGGTTTAGAATGAGCTAAAAGAATTTGTAAGTATGCAGTTTTGACAGAAGGTTGGGAGCAGAGGGCTAAGTCTTGAACGTAGGGTATTTCAGACTGTTTGCCATTGTGTTGGTAGAAATTGTCCAGGTTTCTGAGAGTGTTAAAATTGAATGTCCCATTTTGGGGTTATTGCAAACCCCTATTCACTTGATATTTTGGCCATACTGTATTACAAAAGAATACAAGTCTTTTGGGCTTAATGGTGTCTCACAGTAAGAGAGTATCAAGGGAGCAGAGGAGCCACCCCAGTGGAGGGCAGGAGTGGTTTGCCTGCCGTGACTGGAAAAGGGAGATAAATAGTGAGAGCTCCCTGTGAGAGCTTTAAGGAAAAGAGGCATCCCTGTTTCTCTTTTGTCCTTAAAGGAAGAAGGTCTACTCATGATGTGGGTGTACCCAGCATCAGGAGAGACAGTGCCAGGTGGCTGAGGGACTTTTAGAGTCTGAAGAGAGCGGGAACCTTGAACGAGGAGAAACATCTACTCATCTCCTCCTCACCCCAAATTGGTCCAGTGTTGTTTGGAAGGCCAACAATGGGAAGAGACAGAAAGCCCCGGACAGGGAAGGTGGGTGGAGTAGTGAAAAGAATTAGTGGTGTCCTGCAGGTCCTAGGTACCTTTAGGCTGAGAGAGAGGGACAGGTTTCATAGAGGAGAGACTGAAGCCAATTTTGCAGTTGCCAGAGAATCTCAATACAGAATGAGGGATGCACAGGTTGCTAACTGGCCTTGACCAAGCTTTTTAGGGAGCTTAAAAGAGACCCCTAGTTTCCATGTGTTAGGCGTGGAAGGAAGGAGAGAGGAGAGACAGAGTAAGAGAGTATGGAATAGTGAAAGTTAGGGAATCAGGGTTTGTTGCCTCCTGCCGGGTGCCCCTAGCAGGATTTTGGTGCCAGAAATGTAAGGAAGGACAGAAAGAACCCAGCTCAGGCGAAGAAAGAAATTTTATTGAAGAGAAACTATTGACCAGCACACAGTTCCTTAATATTACAGTGGAGTTTTATATTACAGTGGAGTTTTATATTACAGTGGTGTTTTATATTGCCTTAATAGGAAATTAGGCAGTTCGAATCCACCAGACGCTCTGCCGGGGGAGGAGGGACAATCTCCTCCTGTACCAGTCAGATAAAATTTGATGGTACACGCACACACATAAATAATAAAAAATTTATTTTAAAAAAAGGAAATTAGGAATGGGGCTGTTTGTTGTTTTTTTTATGGTTGCTTTTTAGCACTTTATTTTTTTATTTTAGGAAACAGAATTATAAAATTATATAAAATACAAGGTACATGAACAAAATACAATGTAAATGAATTATTACATGCAAACCAAGAAAAATATCCAAAGGAAATAAACGATAACAACCAAAACAAAAACATCATTTCTGTAATCAATGTAAGAGAGATGAGGAAGGCTAGGTGTTTAGAGGCAGCTGTTTTTACAAGATGAAGAAGCAGACTGGGGGGGTCACAGATAATTATTCCTGAAAAAGGGAGGTAGAATAATTTTGCAGCCCTTTTAGAAATAAACAGGGTTACAGCTGCTCTCTCCTGTGGTTTGATCCTTTCTGTGTCTGTTCTGTGAAAGGGAGAGAGAGCAGCCCTGCAGCCCCAACCATGAGTTTATTTCCGTGAGGTCTAGGTAGCTCTTCCAGTGGATTTCTGATGATATTGTAACAGTAGCATTGTTTTTGGAATTAGCAGAAAACAGGCCATGGGAATTGGATTTGTGTTCTGAATTTTGTTATCGGGACAGATCCCCTTTGTGGAGGTTGTCGAGGTCAAGCTGGTCCAACCTCATGTTCCTTTCCCACTTTTAACAATGAGATTATAGTATTTTTTTAATAATTTTAATGAACATTTACAGAGAATTTGGATTTCCATTCATTCATTGCTGCACTTCTCTACCCGCCCAGCCCTCTCCCCCCCCGCCTCCTCAGTTCACTCCTCTCTTTCAAAAGTAAAAGAAAGACTCCCTCCCTGGTACACAATCTCCCCCGCACCCCTCCCACCGCCCCAAGTACATTCTACTATGCAACCTTAATTGTGGACTCTTGTGATAACCATAATACCCTATCATACATCGCTTTTAAATTATTCAGTATTTTTGTATTGTCTTTTCCAGGGACACCGTCCATGGAAGTCTGAGATTTCTAAATGGGAATTAGAGCTTGTCCAGAAAAGACAAAGACAGGGGATCCAAGGTGCTGCAGGGGATCCAAGGTGCTGCTGGGAATCTACCAAGAAGAAAAGAAGATGCTGAAGGTTCAGGTGATTGTGCTTTTTTTTTAATGTTTTCCTGGGTATCCTGCTGCCATAGTGGACATGTTAAAACGTGGAGTTTATCCTAATAGTTGAAAAAGTCAAAGCTGGAGAGAAAGAAATGTTAAATGTTAATGGTTAAGTGTTGTGCTTCCAACCAAAAGCCATGCAGCTTGGATCAACCCGCAGCTCCTCGAGAGAAAGTTGAACAGTGCTTTCTTTAGTGACTTAGGAAGCTCTGGTGGCCGAGTGGCAAGAAGCTGGGCTGCAGACCCAGAAGGCAAGAGGTTTGAATCTCCCAGCTGCCCTGCTGGAGACGTGTGAGCACTTTCTTTCTGTGCAACTCTCTGCCTTTGAAAAACTGCTGGATTGGGTCAGTTTGGGCTGAACACACAACAACAGGCATTGTTAGAGCATCTCTGGCTGTTGTAAAACTACAATGTGACCCTTATAAGCTTCACAAGTTGGAGGAGGTGTCTGTTCCCTTCACCCTTCACGTGGGAAAAAGACACCGCATCAGCCTCAGCTCAAGGCTGATTCCTGTGAGGTGGAGTTACTAGAAACTTCCTGTCTTTAAACATGTTAGGAATTCTCACCCCTGCCATCCTTCTAATAAATCCTGCAGAGTTATCTTTGCCCTACTTTCAACACAAAAGTTTGGGTTGAAAACCTTCTTTTGGGTGAGGAGAGTAATCTTAAGGAAGAGACACAGAATTTGGTGGTAAACTTTCCGACCGCCTGCAGCTGTGCCTGCCCTGTGACGTCTGTGCACGTTGCAGATTGTTCACTAGACTATGAAATGGAATTGTAGGCCTGGCACGGCTTCCCTGCAAATTCAGTGTTTGCGGCCCAGCAGGAGGAGTTTGGATGATTCATCTATTTGCCTTAAAATTGACGAGGAGTTTGCTGTATATGCAGCCAAGTCCACAGATTGTTTTGTAACAGAGCAATGTATGGTAAGAAGCAGAAGACAGGAATTTGGTGCCTGCAGTCTCCTGTCCGCTTGAGCAGGGTCGATTTCCTGCCTGCTGGCGTAGCAGAGTATTTTTTTAATTTAATTTTATTATTTTTGTGTGTGTGTACCGTCAAATCGGATCTGACTGGTACAGGAGGAGATTGTCCCTCCTTCCCCGGCAGAGCATCTGGTGGATTCGAACCGTGCGTTTCTGGGATTGTAGTTGCAGCTCCTTGCCACTAGGCCACCAAAGCTCCCCTGTAGCAGAGTATTTCTAAGGCCTTTCTTTGAGTACAGCAGCTTTTACCAAAGTGCCCTCGCTCCTGCTAAGGAAGGCAGCAGTCAGACGACCACTGACGAGTCATTGTGAAACCAAAAATTCTCCTTCTTCCTCAGAGACTTCCATTGTGAAGTGCAGATCCGAGCCAAGCAAATTCAGACAGACGAAATCTCTGCAGAAGGTCTTCAGACACTCCTGAAATCTGTCAGACATGAAAACCAATACCCCTGGGTGAAATGTTAGGGCAGGAAGAGGAAGAAAATAACACTAAGAATTCTCAAAGTACAATTGTTACAAGGTGTCCTTCTTCCAAATGAGAACCCAGTCCATTCACCGAAAATGCACAAGCCAAAGGTCAAACCCGTTAATACTGTCACCCCAGCTATGAACTGAGAGGAGTTGTCCATGTTAAAACCCACTCCAGACTTCACACTCAGGTCTGATTCAAGGGTCTTCAAGATGCCGTGTCTGTCTTCCCCAGCATACATTCAACAGATGTACACCATCTCTCTGACCGCAGCCCCCTCACCGACAACAAAGATATTTTCCTCACTGTCCTGGTGGGAGGTAGAGAGAGCATTTGTTCACTGGCCAGCGATTGCTGGAGGATGGATTTCACACAGCTGGATCCGAAGGTCTTGGTAAATAGTAAGAGGCTGTCTAGCCACCTTGCTCGGATCTGTAACAAGAGTTATCCAAATGAGGGAGCTGTCTGAAGATGCCAAATGAAATGGATCTTTAACAAGTACCACTTGGCTTTCAGCTCGGAGGAGGCCTCCGTGCAATTTTCTTCGGTCGTCCCGCATCTGGGTTCATCCGACAGCAGCCGCCTCCGCCATGCCGCCCAAGTCCGACCCCCAGCGAGATTAAAGTCGTGTACCTGAGGTGTACCGGTGGGGAAGTCGGTGCCACTTCCGCTCTGGCCCCCAAGATCGGCCCCCTGGGTCTGTCTCCAAAAAAGGTTGGTGATGACATTGCCAAGGCCACCGGTGACTGGAAGGGACTAAGGATTACAGTGAAACTGACCATTCAGCACATTCAGGCCCAGATTGAAGTGGTGCCTTCTGCCTCTGCCCTGATCATCAAAGCCCTAAAGGAACCACCCGGAGACAGAAAGAAACAGAAAAATATTAAGCACAGTGGAAATAGCACTTTTGATGAGATTGTTGGCATTGCCCGGCAGATGCGACACCAGTCTTTAGCCAGAGAACTCTCTGGAACTATTAAAGAGATCCTGGGAACTGCCCAATCTGTGGGCTGCAATGTTGATGGCCGTCACCCTTATGACATCATAGAAGACATCAGCAGTGGTGCTGTGGAATGCCCAGCTAGCTAAGGAACTACAGACGAAAATATTTCAATAAACGATCATTTGTTAACCAAAACAAAAAAGAAGTACCACTTGACCCTTAAGAGGCTTCTCCCCTTAAGACTTCTGGGTGATTTGAGTGTGATCCTCTCAGGAACTCTGGGAAGAGGAAGCTTGCTTGAGGCACACTGTTCCCTTTCATTAGATAAGTCTTTGCTGCTGCCTCTGGCCTCACCTCTCCCATCCTCAGTTGAAACCGACCTGCGGGTTCACACATGTTCTAGAGTGGAATCTGTGTAGATTAAAATAGGAACAGGGACATGAGAGATGGGAGCAAGACAAGATTTCCTGATCAAGCCCAAATTTATTCCATGAATTCTGCTATAAATAGGGAGCAGAGTAGGCCAGGCTGCCAGGGAATCCAGCCCTAGGTTATCAGTTTACAAAAGAGAGGGAGGGGCATGCCCCAAGGTGTTGATTTACAGGTCCTGATTTAAGAGGTAGGCATAGTCCCAAAGGTGGACAGGGGTGGCGGCTGCATGTCAAAAAATGTTATCAATGGCAGAGTTAAGATCTACTCAGGATGGCTTCCTACACTCAGTGACCCCTACACACTCCCTGCTGCCTCCCTGAAATCAGAGCTTCCTCTCATTCTCCCAGAGGAATTCTTTCTCCTGTTTTCAGCTCCTGTCTTAGAGAAATCAGCCTCCTCTCCACTCTGCCAGGTCTCCAGTGGAGGTGAAATGGAACAACCTCGTGTCTGGGAAAACCTGCCTCCTTCCTCTCTCCTCAGGGAACTATGTCTGCTATTTCCATTTGGACAGGCTGAAAACTGGAGGGCTCAGAGAAATGAGCACTGTGGTCTGTAGGAGGACCATCCAGGAAGCGAGGAGGGGCTGGACAGGACATGTCACAGCAGTGACCACAAGAGGACAGGCACGCCTCAGCCCTCCTGTGTTGGAAACTGAATGAGCCCTTGAATCTCACCTTCCATGCCTAATAGTGGGACGCTTGGAAAAGTGTCTTGTGTTTATTTGTCTTTACTGAAGACCAAAAATTGGTTTGGAAGCAGCTGCCAAGTCCTGTTTCTCTGTCTCTTTAGTGGAGAGAATCTGAATAAGAAAATAGGAGACCTGGGTTGTTGTAGGTTTTTCTGTGACTAGCCAGAGTAACTTTCTGATCCATCCAAGGTCCAGTGGCCTTTACTGGGTCGTTGTTGTTGTTTGATGCCGTCGAGTCATAGACGACTCATAGCGACCCTATGAACGAACGGCCTGAGTACTACCAGGTCTATAGGCTCGGGAAATTGCATTTCTTTCCTGTGGGGTCTGTCATGTGTCTCTTGGTCATTCTGCTATCTTCCTCTGAGAAAATTCTTTCCATGTCTTTTGCCCAGTTTGTAATTGGGTTATCAGTCTTTTTCTTGTTGAGGCATCATATTCTATAAACTTTCGGTATTAAACTCTAGTCTGAAAAGAATGCTTGACCAAAAACAACTAAAAATGGTACCTATTAAAACAAAAAAAAACCTCTAGTCTGAGATGGTATTGACAAATGTTTGTTCCCCCTCGGTAGGTTTTGTTTTAACCCCCCCCCAAAATAGTTTTTGATGTACACAGGGACTTAATCTTTAGACGGTGCTATTCATCAATTTTATCATCTTCAAGTTGTGCATTTCACACTGTAGAAATTGTGGATTTTCTGCACTGCACTCCCAGAGAACACGGTTCGAATCCACCAGATGCTCTGCCGGAGAAGGAGGCGCAATATCCTCCTGTACCAGTCAGATCTGATTTGACGGTACACGCACACAAAAT